CTTTCATCGCAAATTATATGCTATTCTCGCCGATCAGTTACGAGTCAAGTTTGAGATTATCGTCATAACCCAAAGCAAGGATCAGTTTGCCAGATCTTCAGATTGGCATGGACACGGCCCGCTCAGCAAACAGAGCAGCGCCCCGCGACTCAGCTCCGAACCAAAATAAAGTCGACGGTAATCAGCGCTCATCGGCATCTCCAGCTCATCATCCTCGTATTATGAAGTTCGGAGTGACGACATTGCGGAGGAGCCACGTATCCGTAGAACTAAGGAAAGACACTGGCATGCGGCAATGATGTTGGAAGAAGCTCTTCTGATCCACGACATTCTTACCGCCACCGCCGTATCCGTACACTAGCACACCGTACGAATACACCACCAGCTCAGCTCAGCTCAGCCTTCGCGAGATCTTCCCCCCTGATCATCACCTTCAGGGAGGATCCCAGGCCGCGACACTTGCCGCGAGTTTCAGCACCTTGACCGATTGAGGCGGTGCGCCAATCATCCGAACTTCTAGAGAAAGACACCAACAGCCAAGGCTTGTCGTCCCAATGATTTGCGGTGCGTTGCACCACGCTCCCAGAAACTTCCGACGTTTGCGCTGCCCTTCAAACGCAAGAGATTTGTCTGCCTGTCTCCAGGAGTCAATTCTTAAGCTTACTCTCATTGTTTCTCTTAGCGAGGAAACAGTGGTTGCACCCACGGGTTGACCGTAGAACAACCATGAGCAAGCAGCTCATTACTTGCGACTCGGAAACGCATGAGCTTAGAGACATGATTTGTGATCCTTCGATGCGGACCTCATTCCGTACGCGACAATATTCTTGCCTTTGTCTTTTGGCTCTATTCGCTTTTCGGACCGACCAATGGGTCGTCGAACAAGTCACATCGGCCTTGTGTGAATCTAGGAGGATACATACCCCGCAAAGCTCAGTGAAGTAATGCTCCCTTCCTGTGCTCCGGGCTCCCAACTCCTAAGAATACAATGGGATGGAGCCATGAGCAAGTCAACGACACGTAAGACAGTGATTTCCATCCGAACAATCAGGGGCACGAATCTCAGGGACCTGAATCCTACTACCTAGAGTGGCAGAGACCCAAAAAATTGGGCGGGACTCATTCGGCCGAACAAACCGCGGTAGTAGACCCGTCAGCCGGGGGTTTCGAAGTGATTGATATGCGCTTCTATCCCTTGGCCGGGGTCCCTCTGCAATTCTAGGATTCATGACGTACTTGTCAATGGGGTTATTCCGGCCTAGGGGCCCGTTTCTCAGCGAATATCGCGGCAGCCGACGAGGCCATTTTGCCATTCGTATGTATACCTGGTGTCAGTGGTAGACTTGCTAGAACATCCTATGGGAATTGGAGATGGACCGCAGAGCAGAAGACGGCATCGAGGACAGAGAAAGCCGAAAACATGGTCGCCGTCACTTGTTAGCTGAACTTCGCCCATGGCACGATGTTTCCGCGGAGTTCGAGATGCGAATCGCAGGACTGTGCAAGCAAAGGCTTGCGGGAATTCGCCAGCAACTGGAATTCGGCACAATGTTCGATGTGGCTTGGGCTCCGAAGCTGCGGAGATTCCATTTCATGCAGCCGGAGCTTGTGAATTTGGTCTACGCTGGGGCATCCACGCGATGGCCACGGCCTGGGAGTTCATTGAAATGGGTGTAGGCAGTAAGTAGCAGTTGGGTTCATGCCGTAATCTCAAAGTGACAGCAACGATCATCCCAAACGCGGCACATTTGTTTACCCCTATTTTCGCTTTCGGCGCCACCCGTGAAATCTACTGGGTCGTGCACTCTGACTGGCATCTGACTCTTAACGCCGATGTATCACCTCTCAGCGCCTCATGAGGCGCATTCCCCCATGAAATGCTCACCAGCCACATCAACCTCAGCTTCAGCCACACTGACCTGTCCCACATGCCACCTTACGTGCACACGACACCGCACGCAATCAGCGACGCCCGATGCAGGAACAAGTGGCAGTCGAAAGTCAACAAGCCAGCGAAAACAATGCATTGAGCCACCTTCGATCCCCTGACGACCTCACGAAGCTCATGAAATGAAGATTACACCTTGACCATCATCAAGTTTCAAAGATGGATGATCTCTCGGGCTTGAACTGGTCGTCGTCGACCAACAAGACGAACAACAAGCCGCCGCCGATGAACCCCTCGGGGGCCAATTACTTCGGTTCCACGCGACCGACCAACTCGACGCCATCCCCGTTTCCCTCTGGTCGCAACACGCCTCTGTCTGCTCAAGGATCTGGAGCCGTAGCTGCGAAGCCTCCACCCGCGAAGCCACCAGCCGATAGTTTCAGCAACCTGATGAACTTTGGCGGTGCCGGGGCTGCGAAACCGACATCGAAACTCACCTTGCTTGAACAGCAGCAGCGGCTCGAGGCTGAAAAGAGGAAGAAGGAGGAGGAGAGAAGGAAACAAGCGCAGGCGCAATTTGGTGGTGGTTTCTTGGATACACTGGGATCGGGCTCCGTGTCGAGGACAACGTCCCCTGGCATATTGTCTCCTGGCTCCTCTACAGGCAAGAAGGCCAGTGATGACGACGACCTTTTCGCTGCGTTCAACTCTGAGACCAAGGTCGATAACGCCAGCCACTACCCCCCGCCTCCTCAGAAGAGCCCCTCGCCCGCGATTGCCCCGGGCCTGGACCTTAGCAACCCAAGCGCATGGAATCAGGCGCCTCCCCCTGCCAATGGCGGCTTTGGCGACGACGACGATCCGTTTGGTCTCAACCAGCTAAAGCCCAAGGCTGCATCTCCCGCACCCCCGCCGACGAACGACGACGATGACGACTTCCTCGGCGACCTGGGCCGTCCGGTCGAAGAGATTCGGCGCAAACAACCTACTCCGCAGCCCAAGGGGCCTGAGCCCGGAAAACCCATTGAGGCATCCGACTCCAGCTCAGAAGATGAACGGCAGCAAGCTCCCCGGGGTGAAATGGCCGAATTTGACAGCGCCGTCGCGCAGCTGGTCGATTATGGCTTCACCCCTGAAAACGCCCGAAGAGGCTTGACAGAGAGTGGTGCAGGGTTGAATGTGCAAGCAGCGGCCAACTGGCTTTTGGACGACGCACACCGACAAGCCAAGGCAAAGGCCCAAGGGAAGGATCCAGAAGCTGCTTCAAGGAGAGGGCGAGACGATGGTGGCAGACAGGATAGTCAAAGACGGGCTGATACCAGATCTCCTGCCGGTGAGGCCGACTTCTCGAAGACTGCGGCTGCTATGGGAAATAGTCTTTTCAAAACAGCCAACTCTCTCTGGAAGACGAGCAAAAAGCAGGTCGCGGCCGCAGTGGCAGACTTCAATCAACCCGAGGGCGACCCCAGCCAGCCGAAATGGATGCGCTCAGCACAAGCTGATCGTGCTCAGCCTGAGAGGCGGGTGGCCGAGGCTACAGACGAGGCTATGATGCTGGAGTCTGGCGGTCGACCGCAAAGAAAAGCCGGGCAATCGTCGCAGTCTTCGAGACCAGAGGCCCCTCGTCGGACAGCATCCCCGAGAGACCAATCTCCTACGGTATCGGCCCCGTCAAGCGGTAGAGGCACTCCGGTCCCTAGATGGCAGCAGCAGAGTGGCCCAGCAGTACCGGATTCGAGGACTCGCGCAAGCAAGCTGGCAATGGCGGACGACAGCGCGGCTTCGTATGTCAGCCCTGCTAGGAGAAAAAAGGCGACTGCCCAGCCAGAAGCGCCTCCGCCCCAGCGGGAGGAACCGGACCTGCTTTTTGGTTCCCAGGCTCCTAAGCCCTCGCAGTCACTCCCTCAGCGCCCGGCTCAACCGTCGCAGCCATCACGACCCACGCAACCCGCCCAAGCCTCGCGGCCTGCAAGACCTCCTTCTCCCAAGCCGGCCCCTCGACCCGCTCGTCAGATCCCACCAATTACACCTGCGGCGGTACAACAGTCAACAAAACACCGTCTGGATGGAACTGCTCACTTCAAAAGAGGAGATTACGGTGCAGCCCATTCATCCTACACGTCATCACTATCTGCTGTGCCATCTTCGCATCCTCTTGCGATTGTTATCCTCACGAACCGCGCGTTGACATCGTTGAAGAACGGCGAGCCCAAGCGTGCTGTTGAGGACGCTGATGCTGCACTCAAGATCATTGGTCCCGGTGGAGGTCAAGGCGAGCAGGTGTCTGTTGTGGGCGACACCGGCGGCCAGGAAAACCGCGACATGCGGGACCTGTACGGCAAGGCATTGAGCCGCAAGGCCGAGGCCCTCGAGCAGATGGAGCGATGGGGCGATGCCCACGCCGTCTGGTCAGCCTGCGTGAAGAACGGCGTCGGCGGTCCCACCGCTATCTCTGGTCGACAAAGATGCCAGTCCGCCCTGGCTCCGAAGCCCAAACCCAAGCCTAGACCGGCCGCTGCTACTCCTGCTCGGTCTCGCCCTGTCGCAGCTTCTGCTAAGAACATGGAGGCCGTGGAGCGCTTGCGGAAGCAGAACCAGGCTGCGGCACAAGAAGACGACGAGAAGTTTGCGTTGTCGGAGAAGGTCGATGCCAAGATTGCGGCATGGAGGGACGGCAAGAGAGACAACCTGCGTGCTCTCATTGGTAGCTTGGACTCGGTTCTCTGGGAAAACAGCGGATGGAAGAAGGTTGGGCTGCACGAGCTTGTCATGGCCAACAAGGTGAAGATTCACTATATGAAGGCCATTGCCAAGTGTCATCCCGACAAGGTACGTTATTTCTGCTCTGCTTAGTGATTGTAGACCCGCGCTGACAATCTGTAGCTTCCACAAGACGCTAGCACGGAGGTGAGACTCATTGCTGCTACAGTCTTTGCGACATTGAATGAGAGCTGGGATAAGTTCAAATCCGAGAATGGGTTGTAATTAGGGGGGCTGCATGCATGAGGGGTTTTAGACGTGTGAGCGAGCAGATTTAGTGCTGCAAGAATGAGCAGGATAGCTGAAGGCATTTATTCCGAATGCAAGCAGGCAAGCATTGACGAAGGAAGTGAATATTTGAAGCCATATTTGATTGATTCCCCAAACGCCGTGCTATGCTTGTAGTGTTGACCGCTCCCGCTTATGTCTGCCTACGTTGATCCTTCAGATCTATCTCTACTGAGGAATTTCGTCAACTGATTGATGTATGCCACATTATCTACGACTCTTCGCCAGATAAGGTGTTTTACCAAGCGATCAGATCGCCAGACGTTACTGTGTTATCGCTAGAGAAAGACCTGCGCTCTCACAGACCCAACGACCGCCGGACACCGTCGCGGACCTTTTGCTCGTACTCCGTCCTCCGCTCGCGCCACATCTTTGCGGCCTCGACGTTGGCGGGGCTCTCGTCGTTCGGCTCGGCGAGCATGCTCATGACGGAGATGAGGATCTTTTCGACAGACTGGATCGGGGACCAGCGCTCCGAGGCGTGTTCGTAGTGGTTTGGGTCGTCGCCTGGGGGGTGTAGGATGGAAATGCAGACTAGGCCGCTTGGGTAGACTGGTGTTTGCGATTAGCGATAATTTCTGTCTGGAACTCTCCTGGTTTAAATGGAAAGGTGACTTACTATTCGGATGCCACATGTCGACGAGGAACTTCATGGTCGGCGGGGCGAGGGGGTAGTCCTTGGGGAACTTGAGCTCGGCGGGGAAGACGCCGCCTTCAAAGGGGGTTCCCTCGGGTCCTTGGATCAGGGCCTCCCAGTGGAGGAGGTCATCTTCGGAGACAGGGCCGGCGGTGATGCCTTCTGGGGGGTTGTTTGTCAGGGCGCGGTACTCTTGGAGGAGACGGCGGTGGGCGGTGGATTGGGCCATGGCTGGCTCGGTGTTGCGTGTCTCGGGTTGACTCAAATTGGGAGGTTTAGAGTCGCGGGGAGCTGAAGAAGAATGGGGAGAGGTGCGAGATTTGTAGGCAATGATCGAGGGAAGGCCAGGGTTCAAGATGGTTGTCGGGTTGATATCTCCGGTGACTTACACAGCACGGAAGTGAACAGTTGGGACTTCCGGGTCGGTTAGTGGTGGTCATAGTGGTGGCAGACTGGCGGGGGTGGGGGGAAACTCCCCTGTTCCAGTGGTCCTCCGAAGTTTACCCCGGCGGGTGCACATGGATCGGAGCTTGGGTCGGGTTCACCGAGCCTTTTTTTGGGAGCTCTGTCCACCCGTCTCCCCGGCCGACATCATCTAACCATCACCACTTCAATTTTCGACGGTTCACGCCTTTTGCCTTTCGTCGTACCCAGGAAAGCAAGAGACGGGACACGGATTCCCTTGCTCTCTTGCAGTTCGTCCACGATGCCTCCACGACTCCCATTGAGGCCAATCGCAGGTCGCGCCGCCTCTTCCCCGACTGCCGCAAAGCAGAATGCAGCATTCCCTTGGCCTGCAGTATGCTTGTTCTGCTCGCTTACCACGCCCTCGCGACCCACGACGAGAACGAACACCACCATAAACAGCCGCAACCAAGCGAGAAAGGCATTGAGGCAACGCCGCTTCCAGTCCACCGAGTCGACAGCATCACCACCAGCCCCAGAGACCACCGCACCCGAGAACCCTAGGCAAGAACTCATCGACACCCTCCTAGAGCTCCAAAAACACGCCGTAAACCACGTCAACCTCTCTCGCCTACAGCTCGCGCTCCAGGGCCTGCGCCAGGATCCCGGCCAGGAGTCGATCCGCATCGCAATCCTCTCCCTCGCCAACGGCAGCGCGGAGCAGGGCAAGGCGGCAAAGGACCTTCTCCGATTACTTCTCGCGGATCCCCTGGGCGACGAGGCGGAGTGGGAAAGGGAGCTGGCGCAGCATGATCCGTTGCACCCGCTCGTGGTGCGCATTGGGCAGGAGCATAATGCGGCGGAGGCTGCGCCGCGCGTGACGATATCCAAGACGAATTTGCTGCATGAGCTCGATGTGTCGTCGCCTGCGCTCAATGGGCACGGGATTGAGCTGTTGTTGATGGAGGTTAACCCCTTTAGCTCTGTGCCGGGACCGGGCGAGACGGCGGTGCAGGACGTCGAGGAGGCTGTTCTTGTGCCGACGGTGGATATCCCGTCCAACACGGGACGGTACACGCCTATTACGACGCCGGTGCACAAGGCTTTGGTTGTTTCTGGGGGCGTTATGGGCGCTGCTTCGGTTGCGGCTCTGCCGTTGGCTGAATACCGCGATACCGTCTTTGGGGCCGTAAATTTGCCAGAGTACTCTGTTGAGAAGGAGGCGGGCGTCACGTTCCAGCCGATTGATGTGTCGGTGGGCAGCAAGGGGCTTGATCTTATTCGCCAGAACATTGGCAATGCTATGGAGTACGAGAGGGCATGGTACAAGAGTAATGTGCCCGTCCTTATTCAATGGCTCAAGACAGGCGTGCAGACGGACGAGGGTCAGGCTACCAAGCCAGCAGTCCGTCTCCTGGTCGCCTCACTCCTCCGCAACGCCCTCGCAGAGATTGAAGCCGAGGAATCGCGCTTGCTTTCAGGACGCCTGTCCACAGAGGCCGCGTCGTCCGGACTGACCGTCATGAACGAGAGACTAGCGCAATGGTCCCAGTTCGCCCACGAGGAGCTCCAGCAGCAGCTCGACCTCGCGTTCGCGGGCACGAGGTGGCGCAAGCTGGGCTGGTGGAAGCTCTTCTGGCGAGTCGACGACGTAGGCGTCCTCACGACCGACATGCTCAGCCAGCGGTTTCTCCCCGGCGCGGAGAGGGAGCTGGTCTACTTAGCTGGCCGCATCGCCGAATCGGGCGTCGCTTCGACCACCGAACCACCCATCTACGCCCAGCCGACATCCGAACTCCAAAAGTCCCTGCCCGAGAGCAGCACCGTCGCCAAAGCCGTGACACAGAAGCCCAAATGGCCCACGCACATCGCCTTTACGCGCCGCTACCTCCACGAGGAAACCGTTCCTGCACTACAGGCCCTCGCGCAGAAGCTCGTCCTGCAGGCCTCGAGCACCTCTGCCCTGACGACGGCGCTAGCGGGCCTGCTATACGTATCGCAGTACGCTTCCTCCATCTACGAGGCCGGTGCCGTCGCGGCGCTGGGCGTGATGTGGAGCTTGCGCAGGTTGCAGACCAAGTGGGAGACGGCGCGGACGTATTGGGAGGGTGAGGTGCGAGAGGAAGGGCGCAAGGCTGTGCGGGGCGTGGAGCAGAGCGTCGCGGATACGCTTGATGGGTCGCGGGAGGGGGCTGCTATTGAGGGCGCGGAGGAGCTTCGCAGGGCCAAGGAGCTTGTTGAGAAGGCCGAGGACGCGCTTAAGCGGTTGAAGTAGAGGTGATATGGACAAGAAGGAGGTGTTTGCACGTCACGAGGTTTGTATCATCATCTGTATAATGTATAAACACAATGTCCATGATAGACATACACATGCATGCACGAAGTTCGGATACCAGACAAAAAGATAAGAGATTTTGGGCGCCGAGAGGGGCGTTTGCATTCTATTGCTGCGGTCTCTTGGGCTTGAGTACCTAGCTTTCTATGTCAGCTGAGGGTTGATTGACGGCTAGCTCTTCAAAATTAGAGAAAGAGTGAGGCCTACCCTAGCGACCGTCTTTTCCCACATGCTGGCCGACCAGTGACATCCTCAGACTGCCCGGGTATTGTTCTCCCCGAGGAGAACTCAGCCCTCAAGTATCGTGCCTCGCACTGTTTTATGTGTTTCCCTGGCCCCCCCTCGGCTGGTATCCATCCGCCTTTGCAATACTTGGGGACTTTCTCCCGTGAAACTTTCAAAACCCTCATAAAACGCCTGGAACTTTTTTGTTCCCAGAGGACGAGACTGAACAGCCCCCGGATTTTCCTGGAGTGAGAGTCCAAAGTCCCCTCACCCGACCTTTCCTCAGACTTTTCAAAGACGGAAGAGTAGCGTCTGTCGTAAAAGGAAAATGCGCGCTATGTCTCATCTCGAAAGTCCTCACCTTTGGTGTCTTCTTGCTCTCTCCCACTCTCTCTCCCTCGCGCAAAGTCCATATCGCGGGCGGGCTATTTCTTCAAGGCCAAGTCGAAGAGGCATGCTGGGAATGCGGATTGCGATCCTAGCGTCCTCCGCGCCCGCTGGCCCTCGCCCTGCTCACAGTCGCGCGACCACGCGCCATACCGACACCTCGGCCGCGGACGTTGCGGGAGCGGAACATGGGCGCGTTGCGCAGCATGTCCGGGACGATGAAGAAGCGGACGTGGGAGCCGCGGATGTAGACCTGGTCGAGGTGGGAGACGCGGCCGTCGCGGGCGGTGACGGTGATGTCTTTGAGCTGGACGTTCATGTTGTCTTCGGCTGTTGGGAGAGGTGCGGTGTTAGCGGGCTACTATGACTGGAATGGGTGGAAGGAGGGGGGAAAGAAGGGGTACCTTCAAGGAGCTTGCCGCGGTAGGTTTGACCTGATGTGATTTCGAGGGTGACGATATGGCCCTGCGCGCGCCAATGGTTAGCTGTCTGGCGTGGTTCTTATTGGGGGAGAGGCTGTAGATACCTGTGCCTCGTTGAGGAGCTTGATGGGAATGCCAATTGTGGACGTCATGATGGCGGCTGTTTGGAGGAATCGAGGGCGAGCTGTCGTGGGGATTTAGGTCGAGATGGGTGGAGGCGAGTAGCTTGTCGCGATCGCGGGTCAGGGCGGTTTGGGTGGTGGATGATGAAAAGTGAAGGCGGGCTCTGGGGAAGACAGGTAGCTGGAGGTTGGTGTTTTTCCGAGCCGGATTTTTGGCCTCACCGAGTGTGGCAGGTGAGGGTGGAAAGGTGGGGCCGTTGCCGTCACTCACCTTGCGGAGCTCTAAGAATGTCTGCAAACACGGTGAGTATCCTTCACTTCGATTATGATCTGGCCTTTAGTCGATTATTTCGACACTAGTTACAATGAAGGCTTAGTTTATTTTTGAAATTAATTGTTTTTGAAAACGAATCATGAATATCGTCACGGGCTGAAGTGTCCAGGATCGTTCGCACTCTGGCCGCATCAGATTGCGAGAGAAATGGCCGCCAGGAAACGTGCAAGAGCCGCTGCAACGTGGTTCAACGACAGTGGCTTTCATGACCACAGCATGCGACGAGCGAAGAGACCTATATCAATTTGCAAGTAGGAGACAGTGGCAAAGCCGAAGTTGAGGGTTTCGATTTTTGGATTACTCAGCCTTTTGAGTTCGCACTTTCGATCCCGCAAGTATTGTGTAAGTAAGGTAGTTTAAAAAGTGGTGCGAATACACTCTAAATCTACGACAGACCACACCGAGAGCATGTATTTCTCTTGCCGTGCATGAGGTTTAATCAAGACTCATTACGATGTATTTCTGTCGTTCTGAGCGATCACGCCTCTATCCGACGACGAAATGATCACCTGGAATCCTTCGCGACTGGCCGGCAGGGAGAAGTATTACGTTCGTGCACGATGCAGGCTACTTTGAACAGTTATGACACATTAATTCTTTCCAAAAAAGGGTATTGAAATATCTACATCGAAGACGACACCATGCTCCTAAGACCTCTCAAAGTCAAATGTCTCGGGCAAGCTCTTCTTACTCCACTGGTGTACAAGCGGATCTCCAGACCGTCTCTTCTCCCTGAACAACGCCTCCGTCAGATACTTGTACAGCCAGATATTAGCACCGTTGTACGCAATGCTATGGTCGCTGTCCGTGAAACTCAGCCACTTCATCTTGGACACGGGCACTCCGGCACCGACGAGGAGGTCAATGAGCGCAGCCGCGTTCTGATAGTGCACGTTATCATCGCCCGTGCCGTGGAGGATGGTAAACTCGCCAGCCAGGTTCTTGAATCCCTCGGGGTTGCGCACAGCCGTCTCGTTGTAGCCCTCCTCGTTGGCCTCGAGTGTCTTCATGTAGCGCTCCGTGTATAGCGAATCATAGAATCGCCAGTCGCTGACGGGCGCGACGATGAGGCCGGACGAGAAGACACCTGAGTTGGCTTCGAGGACCTTGGCGGAGAGGTATCCGCCGTACGACCAGCCAAAGATGCCAATCTTTGCGGCGTCGACAAAGGCGTTCTGCGAGGAGAGTTGTTCGGCGGCCCAGATCTGGTCGAGAGGCTCCAGGCGGCCGAGGTGGCCGGCCACGGTGGAGCGGAAGGCGCGGCCTTTGTAGCCTGTGCCGCGGTTGTCGACGGTGTAGGTGATATACTCGAGTTCCGGGTCGGATGCAATGAAGGCGCGCCAGGTTATGGATTGGTAGCGCTTTGTGACTTCCTGTGCGCCGGGGCCGCCGTAGGGAGTGAAGAGGGCGGGGTACTTCTTGGAGGGGTCGAAGTTGGCGGGGAGGCGCTGCATTACGTTAAGGGTGTAGCCATCGGGGTGGGCAAGCTCGAAGTAGGTGATGTTGGGGAGCTTGTATTCCTGAAGACGGGTGACGAGGGCCTCATTGCTGGTGATGGTGCGGACCGGGGTGGAAGAGTTGGTGGCGTAGAGTTCCTGGTAGGGGACGTTGGGGCCCTGGTAGGACAGGATGTAATATCCGGCCGAGGACGAAAACGAGGCGCTCCAATAACCTGCGACGGTATCGTCGACGAGAGCCGTCTTGACGCCAGAAGGGTAGGAGACGGAGTAGAGATGTCTCTCGGTACTGTGGTGCTCGGTGGACAGGTAGTAGACGAGATGACGCTCAGTGTCGACCTTGAGTACCGAGGTCACTTCCCACTCGCCGCTGGTCAGAGCAATAGGGCTGCCGCCATTGACTGAATAGAGGTAGATATGGTTCCAACCAGACTCATCGGAAAGGTCCAAAAAGTAGGCGTCGGTGGAGTTTCTAGTGGCGTTTTGCAGGGGACCGATGTACTCAATGCCCTGGTTGTTGTCCAGCCATCCGTCGGAGCCATCGCGCTCTCGAATGACCTCGGAAGCATAGCCCTCGACATCAACACGGACGAGCTTCTCTTGGTCTTGGACACGGTTGAAGGCGCGATAGACGAAGCTGGCATGGTTGGTGGTCAACCACTTGACCTCACCGACGACCAGGTCATCGGCGGGAAATGCGTCAATCTCGACGGGCGTGGCCTCCTCGGTCTCGACATCCAGGAGCGTCAGCGCCACTGTGGGGTTCTTGCTGCCGACCTTGGGGTAACGCAGGTCCAGCTCGACAGGATACGGGGGCGCAATCTTCTCGCCGCCCATGAAGTAGGGGATGGTAAAGGTCTCGACGCCCGTCTCGTTGAAGCTGAGGTAGGCGATGTACTCGCCATCGGGGGAGAACCAGAAGGTGCTTCTGCTGCCAAAGATTTCCTCCTCGTAGACCCAGTCGGGAACACCATGGAATAGGTCCGGACCGCCATCGCTGGTGACTTGAGAAATGGTTCCGTTCTTGCTGAGGAATAGGTTGTTACCGCGGACGAAGGCCTTGAATTTGGTGTTAGTTGAATCCGAGGGCAGCTAAATTGCGTGAGAATTAATCAGGAGCACTTACAATTGCATCTCCCACGGGCGCAAACTCGGCGTATTGAATGTCTCCAGCCTGATCATCCACGAGGGGCTCGACGACGCCAGATTCGACGTCAAGAATGGAATAGTCGGCAAAGTAGGAGTAGCGGTACTGCTTGGTGTAGTTGGTGGCGAAGAGGACCTTCTTTAGATCCGGGCGGATCCAGTACTCGGCGTAATCGGCAGGGATCTTGTCGGCGGGCACAAACGTCTCGTTTGCGCCGGTAACAATGTCCTCGATTACGAGCGCATTGTTGGAAAGATAGATGAAGCGGCCGTCTTCGACACCCGAGAGCCAGCTGACAGATCGCGAGCTGGCGCCAAATCGCGGGGAGGCGACCGTCTCGTTCCAAGTGACAATGCGATCGCCACCTCCGGTGGGCTGGTGCGGTTCTCGTTCAATCGCCGACGCGCTGAGGATGAAGGCCGCAGCGGCAACGACCTTGAGAAGTTGGCGGGCCATGATGGGTGTCCGGTGTCCCGATTTTCCTGGTATCCAAGAATGGGTATGAGAGAAACGGCGAGCAACAGAGGCAAGAAAGGTCGCGTAGTAGGAACCTGGAGAGGCAACCGCCACTTTATACCAGCTTGCCGTGCGGTGCCATTGAACCAAGGTATGCGTCGATAGCCATGCAGGTGCGCGTCGCAGTGGACCGTGTTCCACTGCAATGCAGGCAAGAGATCACCGAGCGACGGTGCAACGGTCCATCGTTGGTGGCATTGTTGGATGTTGTGCTCGGATGCCAAGCAAGCGACATGGATCGTGGTCAAGTTGTCAAGTTATCATCAGGTCGGGCCCGCTGCTTTCTCCAGATTTCTTGCCGACTGTTGGTCTCGACGGCCATCTTGACTGGCTGCTGTGGTCATAGCTGTCCATGGGAACGGAGTTTTCGAATGGAGGGAGCCGGGGGGATTGTTAAGGACCTGCCAAAGTTGGGCTGACGGCGTGATTAAGTCTGGATATTGACGACATGAAGAGGCGGGGGCCATTGGCGTTCGTAATAGCGGTAATGGCGAGCGTCAGTGTACTATTATGTGTGACTGTCTGCGTACGTGTGTGTGTGTGTGGAAGAAAAGAAATTGACGCGATGAAAGCCAAGTGAAGGCCAAGACGAGCTTGCACAGGTGCATTCCTCTTCGGGAAGGTTGCACTTGGACCGGAGAACAAGCGGTGGGCACTGGCGCCGGGGTTCGCTGCGGGTGGAGGGGCGGGGCCACGGCATGCCGCCCGGCCTCTCACGGCTTTTCCCCAAACTTGCCGACTCTGCCCACTCGTTCACTCACCCACTCCTTTTTTCTCCGTCAGACATGAAAGTGCCGGCAATTGGTCGTGAAGGATCGCAGAGGATCGAGAAGCAATGCAAGGCACATCTCATCCCATGAGTTCGGTGTGAGTGTGACAACGTTACACAAGGTACCTACTTGTGGGCTAGATGCTTCAGATAAACTGAAGAGATCTCACTCCCGCATAAGGTGTTCTTCTCAGAAAAAGAAATAGCGAGCAAAGACTATCTTGATACCTCTTGCGGTAACCTGTGCGGTACTGTCACACCTTATACGTATAATCCTTCAAAAATACCAGCTCGGCTTCGGCGCCGGACCCCACAATCCCGTCGGCAATTTAGGAAATCCTCGGGTTCGGGTATCAATCCGGCGTCGGCGGCTTCGGCGAGCGACACTCCAGGACTGGCTTATGACTCAGCGGTATCTTTACATTGACTCACGGAGCTCGAGATACAATCGTGCTATTGGCCGCGGTTATACTGGTCCATGTACTACTTCTATCCAATTGAGATGTATGCGGTCAGTTCATCACATCACTTACAAGCATCTTCACTGAGGTTGCTTTTCTACCATCCTCGAAACAAGCGGAATTGCACCTACTTGCTGATTATTGAATCCAGCTTTCAATTTCTGGCATATATAATGTGATTCAAGCAAGTAGGTTGCTTTCAAGTTTCCTTGTCTAAGGACCCTACTCACAATTGCGTATTTTGAACTCTCTGCAATGTAATCTGTTTGGAGTTTTCACGAGTGCCCGATGAATGGCAGCTACAAGGTTGACGATGGACTTTCTGGGTCAAGAATACAATCCAGTCACTTATATTACCATCAGCTTCAGGTGGCTGTTTGACGCTTGGTCTTCTCCCAGATGTTTACATTAGAAATGAAAGCATTGTCAATCACCCCATTGGTGGCCGCATTTATTGAAATGGCGCGCTCACTTATCTGAGATGATGCCACTGTTTGAGGTTTGAACTTTCGTAATTTGGTCGCATGAAAGTGACTGAAATTACATCAGTACTATACGAGCAATAGTCCCGGTAGCGTACGGATTCTGATCTCTATCCATGAGTATTACCATGCTACCCGGATATAGCGAAGCCTGAAGCCAGTCATGTAAGCTAGTCACGTACCTCATGCGAAAAATCCGAGATCGAGCCTTCCAGCCAAGTTAAGAAGGGGGTGCTGATGTTGGTTCCCGCTGTCACCCGCAAACGCGGGCCAACCCGTCGCATCCAAGCTTTCCAAGTGTCTGAGACTCGGACCCAAAGCTTTAGATTAGGGTAGGATTGACGTGCTGGCTCTAGGAATACGAGGGAGCTATCCCTCCAGTACAATTTTGATACTCTAAAATATTCTGCGGAGTAGAAACGTGAGGTACCTGCTGCCCACATTAGTTAATTAGTCTCTATTGATATGAAGGACTGAGCATCAGGGACCGCCACACACATTGAAGACTGGATGTACTCGGCGCCGGCCGGTCTCTGGGATTGACTATGCTAGTGCAGTTGGTCAGCATCGGGGCATGCCTGTCAGAGCCTTCTCAAGGGTCCCCAACAAAGTAGTGCCTGCCCATCCGCATCAGGCAATTGCTTTATGATGATCTTCAATCAAGTTCTCAGACCTCTGCCAGGATAACAAGACCCTTTTGATACCCCTCCAATCACAACGCCTCCAGTGCAACGGGTTTCAAACGCGTCCGTCAGACTTTCTAAGTTTGGGACCCGAGGGCCAGCAGAAGGATATTGGAAACCAGTGAAGGCAGCCTCTAGAAAGGTCGAGGCGAGATGATTGCCCCTTTTGTGTAGTTCAGCTGCCATGCCATTCCACATGGATCCCTTTGACTTGAAGGCAAGATTGATGCTGATTTGCTCTGTGATGATAGTGAGAGGAGTTATGTCTTGCCAAGGAACATTGCGGCATTGACTCTTCAGGGATCGCATCCTTCTTGAGCGGACAACAGCGATATGGAGGGACATTTTCGAGCCTGGTGAACAGGTAAATATGACTTCCAGTCTCCAGGGTGCCAAAACAATAGAGGTAAACATAGACTGATCGAGTATTTGAGTAAGCCGGGAATAAGCCCCGCCGATTGTCAAATTAGTGAGCAGGTCTGATTTTGGCGCCCGCTTTCGCTTTGACCCTGTGACTTCGGAGCAATGTTCGAGTATCGCACTAGTGCATTCTCTTCGGGCTGTATTGTCTCTGGCGATTTCTTTTGTGCGACTCGGAACAGAAATCCGACAGAATTACCGGGACAGCATAGGAAGAAAAGAAGAAATTCTTCGCTCAAGGTCTGGGGTTCAGGACGACTTTGATGTTCGAACTGTGGTTTGGAAGGGGGGCCGAAGTGGGATACTACTATACTCGACCACTTACAATAGAGCAGTAGATGACTAGCCCAGCTGTCTTCACGTTCGACCGCGACCTTCCGAGAAAGACATACGGCCCGATCTCGGCAGTCACTTTACCAGTGGAAGGGCGCAGTGTAACCCATGTGGTTTGGCTGGCAGCTGGCCGGATCTCTGTGAGACATTATCAACTGCCAACCCGAGCCTAAGCGCCATCGTCCACTTCACGGAAGGCAAGGGGTGTCCTCCCCGGTCGAATCTGGAGGGAGGGTGCTCCCGCTAGACTGTCACCTCACAAACATCAGATGGGACGATCGGCGAGGGTTCAAGTTGGTTCGGGGTCAATCTATGGAGTTATCCGGCAGGACACCCCACCGCGATTGGACATCGGCGATCGCCCCGATAACCTCCTTTTTTCTGTGGGAACGGGCTGGGAACCGACATGGACCTTTCTCATCTCACATTTTCTCTCCCCTCCAAAGTCCATCCCCAGGTCCCCCATGATCCATCATATCATATCACATCCCCCATCTCACCTACGATTGTCTCAATGACATACTCGAAATACGCCTCATCATACCACCGCCGGTAAGCTAAGACAGGCATTTGGGGGAGGGCGACGCCTCCTCAACGTTGTGTGTTCAGCCAGCCCGGAGACCCCGTCCGAGCAAACACACACACGCATATTCGTCTACATACATACAAATCGACTGGCAAAATGGCTTTTCACCCCGGTCGAAGCGCTCCCGCGGCACATATCAATAAATCTGAACCCATGTCCGACCCTCAACCCCCCAATGACGTTCAGCTCTCGGCCTCCATCCGGCAAGATCGCCAGTCAACTCACCTCGCTCACCTGAATTCCTCAGTTTGCAAGACCTACTGCGTACAGGCTTACTCACAGCGCGCGCGCCCTCTACCTGTAGCGTCCCTATTGTCTCATGCCTGTGTCTTACGTCACGCATCGATGAATGTGACTTAAACAGCATGGCACGCATGGCTAAGCCCCTCCGGGAACCATCCAAAGCGCTTCCGATCTGCCGCCTGCATGGTATACCTACGCCTTTACCCATTTTCGACAGCGGGTGTCTGGCCGCTCTGGCGTGCCGGGGGATCCTGGGTAAGGATGGCCACACCCTTCTTTCCCTTCTCCCCTTGTGTCTTCGTCTACGCCAACAGGCACACGAGGTATTTCGTGATATCTGATCTCCCGCCAGCCCGCTAGGGCCGTACCCTTCCCGGACGGAGGATTTTCTTACCTGTCAGATATCGAATGTGAGGGATGAAGAAGCACGCACCCTGCCACTTTGCGGGATGCCACCAATCACCACCCGCCTAGTGGCATGCATCCTGCCCGCGCATGGATTCAGTCGACTCTTTCTCGCGGATGATGGCGTTCGTGATATCATCTCACGCCCGCCTCACTTCTCGCCCGGTCAGATGACTAGGATGGGCGAGAGCGAGGTAAGACAGCGTTGACGAAGCATCATACATGTAGGTAAAGTCCCAAGCTAGACCCTAGGGCTTTGGGGTTAGCCGGGGTGAGCAAAAAAAAAAAAAAGAAGGAGTAGTGGCAGTGATATCGCTTTTTCTTCAGAGTATCTCAAAATTCCTTTCTCTTCCTCAAGTCTCACACAAGGAGTTAAAAAGGGGTCTGGAATGGTCCCGGAGCAGGTTCACCGTGCGCTCCCGTACCGACTTTCAAATGCAATTGATACCCCTAATCGTATCTGCCGGGATTCTTTCCCTCATTCACCGAAGTTGCCTCGCTCCCTTGACCATTCTCGACAGGGACTTTGTCAATCAGCGGAAGAAGAAAAGAGAGCCTTGCAAATGCTACCATCAGTTGAGATGGGACTCACAACCGTGGCAGGCTTGAGTTGACACCCAATCAGAGTTGATGATGGGTTAAAGGTATTAACTCCAAAGTCTTCCAGTTTACATGCAGTCTTCCGTCCCAACTCGACTGTTCTATTCAGCTTCGTCTCTTTGGTGAATCTACATACTCATTCACCGTTCTTATTAGAGAACCTATTTTGGAAGATAAAAAAGACAATTCTTTTTTCGACTTCTCAGGCCGAACTCTTCTAGGAGCAGAAACCTCAATCTTAACGATAGACCGTACTTAATATCACCTACAATGGCCGTCGCAAGCGAGATCTCTCCCATCAGGGAACACTACATCAACCAACTCACCCCTTTCGACAAGTTCATTGCAAGCCTCGGCAAAAGCGCACGCCCGACAGACTTCCAGCTCGTGGACTTCGCCGACCTCGAGATTCTCGGGTTCCTCCCCGGCAAGACGGGAGCAAGGATCGTCACTAAAAAAGCCTCCGGCCTGACCCCACAAGAGAACTTCGTTTTCAAGGGGATGGACTTTGACCAGTACAAGCGAGACAGCAAAGACTTTAAGGAACACCAAGAAAAGACCCTTCTCCACGAGATCCGCACCTTGTACACCCTGCCGCCCCACCCGAACATCATGCCCTGTCCTAAGATCCTCGTCGTCGTACAAGACGGGGACAAGAAGAACCGCATCTGCGGCTTTCTGCAACCGGTCATGAGCAAAGACTCGGTTGATGAGCAGGTCATGCGCGCCAACAGAGCCGGACAACGTCTCCCGCTAGGTCTCAAGGCCAAGTGGTGCTACCAAATGGCTGTCGCAATCCAGCATACCCACCAGGTTGCCGAGAGCTTCCACATGGACTTGAAGCCTGGCAATATCCTCGTCGACGACCACAATAACCTCCGGCTCATCGACTGGGAGCAGAGTGGGTTTTCCATGTTTACGCATCCGCCCGAGGTGACCATCGACCAGGAGGCCGAGGAATCGTCCGTTTCCATCGGGGCCAACGGCAAGCCGGTGGTCATCTACACACCCCACACCGGCGCGCCGCGGAGGAATCAGAAGTGGGGATTTCCGGACTGGAACCTCCTTCCGGAGTGGAAGACGACATGTCCACGAGCCGCGGAGCTGGCGGAGGTATTCAGTCTGGGCAGGACGATGTGGATGCTGCTCGAGCAGGTCGAGCAATCCCCGGACCCTACTGTATGGACGGCCATGGCGATGGACGTCCCGAAGGAGTGGCAAGACATGATCATGCGGTGTGTGGAGAGAGACCCGAACAACCGGCCCGAGTTGAATGAGCTGGTTGAATTTTGGCGCAAGCAGTTGTGCTAGGGCTACGAGTCTACGAACTTTGCTTTTTGGGCATATTTACACAAAGCGGTGTAACATTAGGGACATGGAGTTTCTGGGGCAATCACACGGCGGAGGATACATAGAGGGAAATCCTTCGGAACCCTATTACATTAGTACTTGTTTTTTAAGCAACAAATTCGCCTCTTATCTTCTAAATTGACAACTTCCCACACAGTAAGAAGTCCATCATGACCATGCTTTCATCACCACAAGCGCAGACTAATGGCGAAGCTTCGGCACAAGGTTTGGTTTTGCACCGTGAAAGAAGCGACCCAAGAATAGAGGCACTAAGGCAGAGAACCCCTGCTTGCTGCAGAATGTCGCAAGCGACTCTGCTTTTGTCAAAGGCGATTCCTTCAGGTGGAGCAACCCCATTTCCCTCGCCCTAGCCAGCCTCCCATTTGTGACTGGACAAGGGACACTCGCAGTTTTCTTCCCTTTAATGAGTTGTTGAGCCTACGCATATAGGAACTTGCAGAAAGAATCCGAAAGTTTTGAGAGCTTACACTAAGCCAAAGGGGCAGTCTCAAAGTCTTGACTGACCTCCGCACACCACTACCCCAAGACTGCGGCCCCGATCCAGGCCCAACATCAATGCCTTGCCAAGTTCCCCCATCCTGCAAAAAGGCGATGATCTTGTCCCGAATTTGTAACTTTACCATCCTATCCCGCCCTGTGGATCAGCACCCTGCGTTCTAAACGTGTCTCAGGCGCCGGTGGGAGAGGAGGTCCACATTCACGTAACCCACATTGCATCTTATGTTATCGGCCGAGAGATGTGAAAAGCCACTGTCACGGCAAACCTTTCTTCCGGTCTTGAGTTGCAATGAGAGGCGTGTTAGGCCGTCGACTAATATCGGCAACCTTGTCTGCATGCCTTTAGAGATCTAATGCCGCGCGTTCATACCCTCAACAAATCTCCGCTAGTATGGGTGAATCGTGAACGTGGCCGCCAAAAACCCACTCCGCGCCACAAGTGTTGAAGAACTGATTTAAAGTGCAACATGTAGATTGCCCAGTGAGCCAAGGGTACCTTTGCTGGAACGAAGCTTCTTGGGAAACATCTTGGCACCATGATAGCCTGCCGGAATCGCTACGTCAGCGGATGATCCCGCTCATTATCCTAGACTGCCGGCCACCCGACGGGCAAATTGTAACCCCCCTGATAGACGGCCACCTGCATATCTTAGATGAAGCTGATTAGCAACCGGAGAAAACCTCCATAAGAGATACGTTGGCTACTTAGTATGTACAGTCTTTATAACTTCATGATCTTCATGTGCAACGACAGCCTTGTATCTGGTTTCTTATGCGACAGATCGTGAGGCGGACGGTGGGAATGCGCACGTTTCTAGCGCGAAGCCACCATATGCTAGGTAGATACGGCAAATCGTCAAGATCTCGAGGCCCAACCCTGAGTCTCGGTATCGATTCAATCGCGCCCGTAGAAAGAGGGATCGACACCATGCGATTCAACGAGAAGGGTGTAGTCCTAAGCATCATAAGCATCTTATTAGTTAGCTTGCTTAGCAACGGTAACATCGCAACTTTTGCACTCACATTAACTTTACGCTATGAGCGACCGACACCTTGATTCTGCATTTAGCCCGGATGGTGTAATATTGCCCCAATTTGATTTCTTAAGATCTTTGAGAGAGAATGAGTGTTCAACCCTGCCAATGAGGAAAGAACTCTCGAGAGCATAGTCTTAGAGTTAAAGACATGAAAGCTCATATGGTCTCCTTGGGAGATGGTCACGGGATTTAGCCGTGGTGACTCCGTGTCGCCACAATACTGTAAGGGCACAACGAACAGCTTCTTTTGTCACACCCTAGACAGCCTTGACAGCTTGGGGGCACGTTAATGTATCAGGCGACTGAGACACCAAAGTCAATTTTGGGATACGAACTGCAACTAAGCCACACCCCGACCAATTGTCTTCAATTTGAACGGTCTTGGGGATGGAATGTGACACGAGCTAGACCACGCGGGGACGGATTATCTATGCCGTATACGGAACTAGGAGATATGGCCAGGTGGTTCGCAATATGAGAACTGAGCTGAAGGCTCTGAGATCTGCTGGCACCTTTGGGTAGAGCAGATAAGCTGCCCACTTGCAGGGCCACCATTCGAAATTTGAACGCTTGGCCTAAGAGTCTTTGGGTTCTTGGGGCCTGTGGCTTTTTGTGATTCAGCATTAAAGGGGCTGGGTGAAGAACAGGACTGGTGCTGTCCCAGTGAAAGGCAGGCTAAAGTACGAGGAAGATGAACGTGGCAGTGGGGTATTGGTACAGCTAAACATTGCTCATTTGCAGGATTTATGAACCACCGGATTTATTGGATTGCATGTTGAGCTAATATTGATCATTATCATCTCGTCCATTCGTGCATCAACCTTGCCATATTCCGAGCCTCCCATTTTAATATCTATAGCAATGCCTGGCGCACCTTGTTTTTTGGGACCCTCCCTAAAATGTCTCAATGCCCTGAAAAAAGGACAGATTCCCCATTGGTCCAACTGCCTTACTGGTTGCCCAGAGTCTTTCCGAGCTCCTCGCCGCGATCCGCCGCAGCCTTGACAGCCTTGTTGACAATCTCCTGGAAGCCAGATGCCTCGAAGCTCTGAAGGGCAGCATGTGTGGTGCCGTTGGGGCTGGTGACGTTCTTGCGAAGCTGGCTGGGCTCCTCGGGGGACTCGACGAGCATCTTGCCTGCACCGAGGCAGGTCTGGGTAGCCAAGCGCTTCGCCTGCTCAGGGGAGAGGCCAAGGCCAACGGCGCTGGAAATGAGGTGCTCGACCATGGCGAAGAAGTAGGCAGGGCCAGATCCTACGGGTGGCTCTAGTGTTAGATTCATCCTATTCCGCTGGCGACTCATGTGAAGTGTCCCGTAATGACTCACCTGACAAGCCTGTGACAACGTCAATCAGCTCCTCCTTGTCAACCCACTCCGTGGCCTTGCTGACGCTCGCCATGAGGGCCTCGGTCAGCTTCTTCTCGTCGTCCGTCACATCGCTACCCGCGAACAGACCAGACGCACCCTCGCCCACCAGGGCAGGGGTGTTGGGCATGACGCGCACGACGTGCGGGGACCGGCCGTCGTCAAGCGCCAGCCACTTCTGCAGGGCCTCGAGGGTGATGCCAGCGGCGATGGAGACGACGACAGGCACCTTCTCCTGCCCCGAGATGGCCTTGCCGAGCTCGTTGCAAACGCCCTTTGCGACCTGGGGCTTGACGGCCAGGATGGCAATGTCGGCGCCGACGAAGGCCTCGGCGTTGGAGGTGGTGGTCTTGACTCCGAGGGCGGCCATCTTCTCACGGTTCACATCCCACGGCTCAGAGACGGTGACGTTCTGCTTGTCGATACCCTTTGCGACCAGGCCTCCGATGATCGCTGCGGCCATGTTGCCGCCGCCTACGGATACCCCGCGTTAGCCCCGCCATCGTGGGAGATTTTCTGGTGTTTCGTGGAACGTACCGATGAAGGCAATCTTGCTGGATTCCAAAGCAGGAGCCATGTTTGGTACTGTCTGGATTCAATTGAGTTAATTGACGTTGAAGTATTCTGCGACGCGAGGAGATGAGCTGTTGATATATGTGTAGTGAATTCGAGAAAGTCGATGAGTTTGACTCGGCCCGGAAACTGTGGCGCCGCTATCGGACCCACTGTTTCTGGAAAGTATGGCGTCTAAAAGCCGAACCAGTGAGTCAATTCCCGAGGAACTAGTTTCGTGAATTTACAGCCTCAATAATCAGTTTCTATAGTTTTTTCCATTGATATATATTAAGTAGTTGCAGAATTTATCTTCAATGATCATATGGCTAGTGGGCCGGAGTGTATTGATTGCTGGAAACAATGACCTGTGGCAATGATAATCGTGGCCTAGGTGTCATTCAATGATCGAGAGGGCGTGGAGTCGTTCAGGGAAACTTTCCTGGATAGATGCGATAATAAAATTCAAAGTAAGGGATATCTTTTATATACCAAAAATTACTTGAGCAATGAAGGCATAAGGGCTAAATTACGCCCAATGCCTATGACCGAGTTTACTTATTTGCTTTGAACCTTGATTTGTGAATTTGGGAGGGGGCTTTAGAGTGTGTGTTGAACTTGATTGAGTTTTACTGACTTTAACCCTATTCGTACCAAGAGCTCTCAACCTATGTGTATTTCCAACTCTCGAACCGCATCAATGTTTATGCAATTGAATCGTGCTGGACTCAGCCTCCTGATCTTCCAGCGCGCGTGCGGTCATTTCTCGCGGTTCGAGGTTGTGACCCATCATAGTCGACGTGACAGAATTCGAGAATGCTCAAAGACTTAAGGTAGGTCTCCAGTCTCTTCCCGTTCTTTCTCGTTGACACCCCCAGGAATAATCCACTCCCATTCCGGGGGGCCCAGACACTTGCCACAATCTAATCCCGGGACGTTCTTGCATCCCCACCAACGCCCGCGCTTTTCCGGCGGCCAAACATCGCCATCGGTGCAACAAGGGTGACACTGCCGCTTCTGAATCTTGCTTGTCGGCTTGAGGTCCCCTTTTGATGAAGATTTCAGTGCGAACTTGAAATTGTCTTCTTCGTAACAGCTTATCGGCGCCTTGGCGCTGTAACAGTCCTCGATCTCAGGACAGCTCGGATCCGAGTTGCTGCGGAGAACATGGGTGGCTGTGATGGTGCATGTCGGACAGGCCCTTCGAATGTTGTAGAGTGTCTGTTTAGAGATGCGCGCTGGCGATTTTGCGATCTGGTCTTCCGTGGGTGCTGGGGCGGTCATTACACCGCTAAGAAGAGTAGCGGAGAAGAGTAAAAAGATCTTCATGGTGGAAGTGTGGGTAAAGATGAGGCTTCTGAGCGGAGGATAGCTTGATCATTGACTATGCAAGAAGGAGGAAAAGTGTCAATGAGTCAAAGGCGATCACCGCCCCATTTATGACTTTTCATAAACCCCTTGTAGACATGGCCAAAATGGTCCTCTGAAGCGGCTCGTGTTAGACGTCCTGTTCAAAATGAATTCCAACCACATACTAGGCCATGAACAATCTGCCTCTCACGGGAACTGGAACGTCGTGCCTGCGGCTGGCTACCTTGATGTGCCAGTACAAAAGAGCCTGGGCCTTTAGGGTTATGGTAGTCACCCCAGAACCATACAGGTTGGTAAACCCGGGACTTAAAACATCGTATTACCTGTAGCTTTATTCTAGGAGGTACTCCGGAGACTTCAAATCAACCCATCCCAAGTTGGGTTCCGACTGCTTCCAGCCAAGACGGTCACGCACGAGTTTCGAGTATGTCTTGACATCTTCGATCGGGTAGCTGAGGTATGGAATCTCCTGCATTTGTGTGAGCAATCGTAATTTGTAGTAGCATATGAAAACTCCGGTGGCTTACCTCCTGCCGGTGAACGCCGCTGCACATGAACATGATGTGCACTGTTCGACATCCCGTCTCTAGGGAATACTGTCCAGCGCCATGGTACAAACTGCCCAACATCACAAATGCCTCGCCTCTCTTCAATTCCGCGTTTTCAACACCCTTTTGGCCATCTTCCCCAAAGTCAGGCTTTTCATCGCCCCACAGATGTGACCCGGGAACGATCCGGGTGGCACCGTTTGCTTGAAAAGTATCGCATTCCGGAACGAATAGGCCAAGAAGCATATCGCGTCCCTTTGTGTAGTGACTGGCCTTGGTGTGTCTCGCATGATGGTTTTTGTCGTCGCGATGTAATTTCTGTGCTTTCGCTCCCGGCTGAGAGGACATTGTGATGGAGATCGAGAGCAAAGGGTCGGACTTGTGGATGGTGGGTTCATCTCCGTACCAAAGTTCGGTCTCAAGCCCAATGAAGTGATCCGCAATGCTCTGTGAAATGTCCCTTTTAGTCAATAATGGATTCATAAACTTGATAGAGATGTTGTAAGCGCACCTGGTACAACGAGTCTGAGAAGAACTTCTCGCGGACAGTTTTGCTTCGACCGACGAGCCTCGTACAAGTTGCAGTCCCACCGTTCAGAGCACCGACGGTACTTCCAGATTCCGCAAGCGACGCATCGAGATATGGCTGCACTTCCTGATGCGCAGCATCAAGGGAAGCCTGGTTCGTGAAGTCTTTGATGACAACGCACCCATCCTCTTCTATTGCGCTAATGAAGGCCTGCAACCCGGCTTCTCGCTGAAGTCGTTGGACCATTTGAGAGACACTTCTGATTACGATGCAAGAAACTGAACTTTCGGCAAATGAGCTATCCTGGTATTGAAATGAAATCCAGGAAGACAGAGAGTTTAACACTATTGATGGGTTGGGTAACGTTGATGATGGAGCATCTTGTGGGTTGAAGTTGTCTTAGCCTCCAGCTTCCCCTCGACTTGGCAGGCAGATAGGATGATCCCGGAAACGATAACGCGACAGGCGGCGGGCGGAGATGAGGAAATGTAAGTGGAGACTGGCAATGTGTCTCGCGCCATCTAAGCCGCCCGTTATCCCGCCGGCGCATCATCTCCGCATCAAGAAAGCGACGACTTCAGATCCTCAAAAGCGGACTAGATAGCTAGAATGACCATGATAGCCTCTGATGCAACATCAAGTATTTCAAACCTACCAAAATGCAACCAAACTATGTGTTGTAAGTTTGAAACTTCAGGAGGTAAGTTTGACGGTATGGCGAAGCGTGAATTCATCTTATCCATTGTTTCCATGCACACTTAAGCTTCATCAAGCGCTTTTTTGTGCATTGGAAATACCACATTAATATTATTGGCTTTGTTAAAGTACGCCCTTAAACCTTTGGAACGCAGGCTTGGCACATGTGCTTTCAACCTGTTACCGCGGCACCGGTATTCAAACAAACGTGGTACCATATCCACTTTCACCTCCCGGCAGGACATCGACCGAAAGAGGAGCTTCATAGGGAGCTTCCGAGCTGCTAAACTCTCCCTCGAGGGCTGAGAATGGAATATCCCTCCAAGTCTGCTGGATCTTCCTTGCGCTCTCCAGGAACCGCGTCTTGACGTCTGCGTAGTCAGGCACCACCAGCTTGTGATCTTTCTTGACAAACTTGCCGTCCACCAGGACGTGCTCGACATCGGCGACGCTAGCGTGTAGAATTACAGCCGCGACAGGGTCAACCCAGCCAAGGAGGGCGGGACTCTCGCCATCCCAGACAACCACGTCGGCTTTGGCGCCTTCAGTTATGACGCCCAGGTCCGGGCGGCGAAGAGCAAGTCCGCCGTTCCTTGTAGCGAGGAGGAAGGCTTGGTTGACAGTCATTGGCGTGCTGGTAGGCACGCGCCAGTTTGCGAGGACTTGTTGATAGAGCAGGCGGCGGGTGCTCTGTAGCCAGAGCCGGGCTTGCGTAAGGATGTCGGTTGAGAAAGTGAAGTGGGTATCTACACCGAGGGAGCCTTGATCTTGAATCAGGTGGCTGTGAGGATGTGTGTGACCGTAATGCATCTCGGATTCTGGCGTGATTGAGATGTACTGGTTGGTGGAGCGGAGGAGCGATGCGCCCTTGTAGGTGAGGAATGACGCATGCGAAAATACGACTGGGATGCTAGTATTCAGTACCCCAATAGCATGGACATCCTCCGGACTGTTAGTGTCTATGGAGTAGTCAGTATGAGAGCGACACTATTGTGTGATTAGGATCAAATACTAACTTCCCCATGGGCCCTGCAGACTATGAGTTGTAATCACTGAGACGTTGAACTCCCTGCCGCCTGTTAGGACGACTTTTACTGCTAGCTTGTGTCAAGCAACTCACTTAGCAAGATCAACGACCGCGTTGATATCCGCGAGAACACCATCGGTCCCGAAGAAGTCGCACGCAACTCCTAAGGTGGTAGGAGTACCGTCAAATTCGGCTTTGGTCGCGATGTTTCTGAAGTTTTCCAGCTGCTCCGAAACGGTATAGTTGGTGACATTGTGAAAGGCGTAGGACCAAAAGACCCTCGCGCCGCTGTCGATGCTGCCCTTCAACCCTGCCTCCGAAGTTCCATCAGACCAAGTGTGGTGGGCGTGATCGAGAGTCGTCGTGACACCAGCGTTGAGGGCCTCGTAGAGACCCGCGAGCTGGCCAATGTAAACATCGTCGGCACTCAAGAAGCCAGCGGCAGCGTACTCGCCGTAGCGCGTGAAGTACTCTGCGAGTGAAGTATTCGAGGCGATGGTCCTGAAAGCTGTTTGCCAACCGTGGCGGTGGGTGTCAACGAAGCCCGGTGTGATGATCTTGTTTGTGACATCGATGACTTCCGTGTCGTTGGATGATTGCGGCAAGGGCTGATCTGAAGTGTAGATGGAAGTGATGCGGTCGTCCGTGATGAGCAGGGAGCCGTTGCGGATGACGTTCAGGGAGTTGCTTGACTCGTCGAAGCCAATAATCGTACCACCACGAAGAAGTACCGAAGACGCATTTGCGAGGGTGACAAACCCGGCGACGGCCGCTGCCAGGCTGATAGAAGGCATTTCTCAAGGTATTAGCCAGTCGAGCGAGCTCGAGTCTGTCGGATGCTGCCTTCAGTCATCTCCAGGTAATCCTCCACGGCAGCGCAGATGCTGCTTTTAAAGTAAATCCAAGTCATATCGCGTTTATCTCGCTATCTCGCGCCTACCATC